CCCAAGCTGGGACTACAAGCGCCCACCACAACACCTGGCCATTTTTTGGTTGCAGCCATCATTGTTGTTTGGTGGGCCCGGGCTGGGGATTCGAACCCACCACCTTAGGTGTATGTGGCTGGCACCTTAGCCGCTTGAGCCACAGGTGCCGAGCCAGCTCACAGACTCTTGATCTCAAGAAGTTCTCTTATTTCAGATTCCCAAGTAGCTGGGACTCCAGGCGCCTGCCACAACACCCTGCCACTTTTAGAGGCTGGTTTCAAACTCCTGAGCTCAAGTAATCTACCTGCCTCAGCCTCCCAGAGTGCTAAGAGTACAGGCATGAGCCACTGCTCCCAGCCTCTCACTTTTTAATGGGCTATGAAGAGAAATAGGTTATAATGTTTTTGATTATGAAAACATTTTTACTGATCATGAGTTCTCTGTAACTGTGTTGTTACAAAGGTGAAGTCTGTAAAATGATGTTCAGGATATGTGTGGTGGTGACATTCCTTCAGGGCTTGCTTTGTGTTGACAGGTTTGCAGTCGCAACTCCAGAGGAACTGGCTGTCAATAATGACGACTGTGCAATCTGCTGGGACTCCATGCAGGCTGCAAGGAAGCTGCCCTGCGGACATCTTTTTCACAAGTAGGAGGGCCACACAGGACTGATACTCTGTCCGGGGCATGTGGGTGTTTGTACCTAGGCTCAAGACTAATCCTAGCAGAGGCTGGGGTTACTGCTTTAGCCTGGCCTTGTTGCTGACATTGAGAGTTACAGGAAGCTCTTGAATATCCTTCTTTATCCCTTTAGCCTCTTCTGTATTCAGCAGAACTATTTCCCATTCACAGTTTGCCATCTTAATTTCTGGGTGTGTTAGTGGTCTTATATTTTCCCATTTCAGCTCTGAGGTGTAGCAGATACTCCTCTAAGATTTAAAAGAAGAGTTGGGGGGAATCCTTGCTTTCAGGCAGCTTATTATATAACTGGGAAGAGAGAATACATATTTTTGCATGTTTCACATGTCCCAAAGAAGCATAAATACCCCAGAGAAGTATACTGCGCTACTTGTAAGCATTACAGACAGGCTCCTCTGTAAACCGTCATGATTGGAGTAGATCTGTTAGTTATTTTTATGATGGGATGTTGCTGGACCTTGAAGTGTTTTTTGGCCTTTGGATTTGGATCTGTGGCATTTTTGTATCTCGAGAAAGTTCTGATTTTTATATCTTTAATCTTCCTTTCTTTTATATTCTCAAATAGTTTTTGTACTCCTTTTTTTTTAATATTAGAAGGGCTCTGAAGCTGGAGTCTCAGTGATACAACACATTTATTGACAGATATCTTTTGCACTGGGTGCTGTGTTGGGCTCTAGAGTTAAAGTGAAAATAACACATGGTTTTTATCTTTGTGGAACTTATAGTCTAATGGAGGAGTCAGATGCAAATTAACTGCACATTTAAGAAAGTGAAAGTATAGAGATTAGTGCTCTGTAGGAAGGGAACTGGTTCTTGAGAGCGTGTAAGAAAGGGATCTGACTCAAATTTGGAGGAGGTGACTGGTAAGGCCAGGCAGTAGTTAGCAAAGGGAAGGGTCAGGTGGAAGAGGATTTGAGAAAGGGGGACATTTCTGCAGCAGGAGGGGGTATGGTGTGTTGAAGGGACTACAAGAACACCTGTGACTAGAAGTCAGAGTGTGAGAGGGAGGCATCTCCTGAGCCAGGAGTTTCAGGCAGGGTCTAGTGGGCCATTGGACGGGGTGAGAAGGCCTCAAAGGTGCTTAGGGGTTGGCAGATAATATTTGCAGTTTGAAAAACTCAGGGGACTAGTTGATAGCAGCTGCAGTGGTTCAGGGTTGTATTGAGAGTAGTTTGGACTACAGTGGTGGGAGTAGAATTAAAGAGGAGATAGAGGGCAGTGCCTGTGGCTTAGTGGGTAGGGTGACAGCCCCGTACACCTACCGTAGTGAGTTCAAACCCGGCCCCGGCTGAACTGCAACAAAAAATAGCCGGGTGTTGTGGCAGGTGCTTGTAGTCCCAGCTACTTGGGTGGCTGAGGCAAGAGAATCCCCTAAGCCCAGGAGTTGGAGGTTGCCGTGAGCTGTGTGACACAACAGCACTCTATCGAGGGTGATAAAGTGAGACTTTGTCTCTAATAAATAAATAAATAAATAAAGAGGAGATAGAATTGAGAAGGATTAGGGACGGCATGGTGCCAGATGGGCTGCTAGAAAGCGTGGAATGAAGAGGTGTTGGAGTTTCTCGTAGTTTGTGGTTTGTGCAGTTGGTGGGATACTGGTGCTGTCTGTTAAAGTCGGGAAGAACAAGGAATATGCACACATTTCTCAAAATCCTTTCGGTTAGTCTGAAAGGAGTATAGAGACTAGTTAAGAAGAATAATGTATTTTAGCCTAGAAATTGTATTTTCAAGCATATGATTTAATTGATTTTAGGATTTATAGTTTTTGGTTGACACAAAATGGTAACATAAAAGTTATCATTTTGACCATCTTTTTTTTTTTTTTTTGAGACAGAGCCTCAAGCTGTCCCCCTGGGTAGAGTGCCCTGGCATTACAGCTCACAGCAACCTCCAACTCCTGGGCTCAAGCGAGTCTCCTGCCTCCGCCTCCCAAGTAGCTGGGACTACAGGCGCCCGCCACAACGCCCGGCTATTTTTTGGTTGCAGCCGTCATTGTTGTTTGGCGGGTCCGGGCTAGGGATTCGAACCCGCCACCTTAGGTGTACGTGGCTGGCGCCTTAGCCTGTTGAGCTATAGGCGCCGAGCCTTGACCATCTTTAACTGTACATTTTGGTGACATCAAGCACTATTACATTCTTGTGCAATCTCCATCACCATCCATCCCCAGAATCTTTCCAAATTGAAACTCTTGTCTCCATTAGTCAGTGAGTCCCCCTCTGCCTTTCCCGCTGCCCTTGGCAAAACCACACTTGGATTCTCTGTCCCTGTGAATTTGACTCCTGTAGGTACCTCTGTTGCCTTCAGGTTTAGTTTGCTCTTTTTCTGGTTCCACAGGTATAAAGTTAGGTTGTTGATTTGAGAGCTTTCTTTTTAGGAATTGTTAGCTATAAATTTTCCTTTGAACATTGTTTTCACTGTATCCCACGAGTTTGGGTATGTTGTGCTTTTGTTTTCATTTGTCTCAGAGTATCTAATTTCCCAAGTGATTTATTCTTTGATCTAGTGGTTGTTGAGGAGTTAGGATTTATTTTTAAAACACCTGTCTGCTTTGGGTTCAATTAGGACTTCCTCTTGGTTTGCTTACTTTGTAACTTTGGTAATGGAATGGAAGCAGGATCGTGTATCAATAATATTAAGGCAAATTCATCTTAATTTGTGAAAAGCTAAAAGTCTAGATTCTAGGAGACACAATGGCTAGATAATTTGTTGCTATAAGAGACATTTTTACAAGATTTCAAAGTCCAGAGTTTGTTTTCTCTCAAGTTTGGTTTCTTTCAGTTACGGAAGTCTAGGAAGTTTTCTTTAAACAATGAAACTATGTCTTACTAGTTATACTCAGCTATTATACTTATTTATTTTATTTTATTTTATTTTATGAGACAGAGTCTCACTATATCACCCTCGGTAAAGTGCTGTGACATCACAGTTCACACCAACCTCCAACTCTTGGGCTTGAGGCAGTGGTTCTCAAACTTCCTAATGCCGTGATATATTTTCATTGTTATAGAGGGGTTGCGACCCACAGGTTGAGAACTGCTGGCTTAAGTGATTCTCTTGCCTCAGCCTCCCAAGTAGCTGGGACTACAGGCGCCCGCCACAACGTCAGGCTATTTTTTTGTGGTAGTTGTCATTGTTGTTTAGCTAGCCCAGGGCAGGTTCGAACCTGCCAGCTTGGGTATATGTGGCCGGTGCCCTACCCACTGAGCTACAGGTGCCACTGCTATTATATTTAGTGTGGGAGGTTTTTGTAGTCTATGATACAAATTTAGATCTGCTTATGAAAAGTATGTCACAGTAAAGCTTTACTGGAAGGCAAAGACCTTATATACTTATGTCATCCCTCACAAAGGTCAATTTTACTCGTGGTATGAAATAAGGGTGTTCATCAGGAGAAATGGACTTGTTGAAAATATAATTTATTTGACTAAATTATCACAAACAGGAATTATAGGTACTTTATTATTTCAAAATGTGATGGAGTTGAATGTGCGTACTCTGACAACATGGAGATAGTAAGAAGTAGCTCTATCTTGCCCTCTGGAAAAGCTTTGTTACGAGTACCATTTGCTACCAGCTCTGAGGATTAGCACATCACGGCAAGGTGTGACCATGTTTAACTGTACGCTTTGGTGACATCAAGCACTATTGCATCCTTGTACAATCTCCAGCACCATCCACCTCCAGAATCTTTCCAAATTGAAACTCTGTCATCAGTTTACATATGCGTCTGTTTGTACAGATTTAAAAAACAGGACACGGAACAGTTTTTATTCAGTGTCTACTTGAGCTCTTAAAAAATAATGAATTCTCATAAAATGGGAAGGGATCTTGAAGATCACTTCAGCCTTTTCATTTTTTAGTGGAGAGGACTAGTCCAGAGAGGTCGAAGGATTTACTTGGATCACACAGCTAGTTAGACCTCACAGTGGCTACTTCTTATTCTAGTACCTATCCCTTTAAATGGACACCATAAGTGTTTATTGAGTGTCTTTCATAATTAAGACATTATCATCTCCTGAGAGAGGGCGAAAGAAGCCTTGTTGGGAAAGTAGAGTGCAGAGAGAAGAGGAGGAGGAGGCTGGGGGAGAGGGTAAGGGCACGGTTATGGTAAACTAGGTGAGGAGGGACCTGAGGGAAAAGGGGTTTGAGGGGCAAGGGCCTTCGCAAGTTTGGTCCCAGGGAAGTGAACTGGAAGAAGAGCTGGAGTGAGTAAGGGAGATCTCTGAAGTCAAGATTTTGAGGACAAGGTCAAAGGTAAGGTTATGAGCATGTTAGTTAGCAGCTAACGCAGAGTGAAGGACAAGGTCGTTGGGGTAGAGGACGACTCAAAGACGTGAGAGGCCCGGTTATTTATGATTCAGCAAGATGGATTTTGAAGTAGCCAAATAGTGTTGTAAAAGAAGACGGTCAGCCATGCAGTCTTACTGAAGAGGGGTCCATACCAGATCACTGCGTATGGTAAAGAATTAGCATTCGCAGCACCAGTATACACTAGGAGTATAGCAGAGTGAAGTAGGGCAAAGAGATAATGTCCATAAATATTTCTCAACATTTAAGTCTCACCACTAGTAAATAGAAAATAAAATTGGAGCACATTTGCTGCATATATTATATTCACATATCTTATTTTGCACTTTTCGATAGCTCCTGTCTTCGTTCCTGGCTAGAACAAGACACCTCCTGTCCGACATGCAGAATGTCTCTTAACATTGCTGACAATAACCGTGCCAGGGAAGACCATCAAGGAGAGAACTTGGATGAGAATTTGGTTCCTGTAGCAGCAGCTGAAGGCAGACCTCGCCTAAACCAACACAATCACTTCTTCCACTTTGATGGTTAGTTGGCTTCGAACTCTTAAAACCTTGCTCCAGCAGGTTGCTCTCCTAAGGGAGCATATATAAATTTTGGGGGGGCTGGGGACAGAGTCTCACTCTGTCACCCTGTGTAGAGTGCTATACCATCATAGCCTCACAGCAATCTCAAATTCTTGGGTTTGAGTAAATTCTCTTGTTTCAGCCTCCCACGTAGCTGGGACTATAGGCGTGTGCCACTATGCCTGTAGTTTTTCTGTTTTTAGTAGAGAGGAGGTCTTGTTCTTGCTCAGGTTGGCATTTTAATTAAAATTGTTCTGTATAATCTTGGGCCTCCTAATATTTTGGTTAATGATGGACCCCATATGCAACAGGAGTCCTATAAGATTATAATGGAGATGAAAAATTCTTATCACCTAGTAATTACAGTACTATACTTGTAATTGTTATTTAAGAGTGCACTCCTTCTGCTTAAGAAAAAGTGAGTTAACTGTACAGCAGCCTCAGCAGGCATTCCAGAAGCAGGCATTGTTACCTCCGGAGATAACAGCTCCCTGTGTGTTAGTGCCCCTGAAGACCTTCCAGTGGGACAAGGTGTGGAGGTGGAGGACAGTGACGTACGTTAACGTCCTGTTGTGAGCTGGTGTATGTGGGTTTGAGGAAGATTTTTCCAGACAAAGATTAAGATAGAAAGAAGAAAAAGTTTATTTTACTTTTTTCTGAGAGCAAAAGGACCAATAGGAGAGAGGAAGAGAAAGAGTGTATTGGCAGAGAGGCAGGTATTCTGGCTTTTTATTTGGGGGATGTAAAGGTTTTATAGCTATGGCCAAATTAATAGGGTTTTACGAACTGTCCTCTCTTCTCAGGGGCAGGCAGGTAATAGAAATAAATGGCTGTTGGAGATCTTGTGCTCAATCTTGCCCTTAGCTGTGGTTTTGAGCAAGATCTGGGGCCAGAAGCTTGTGCCCCTGCTGTCTATCCAGGAGCTACTCAGGAACTGCTAGTGGCTGTGGAAGCAGATTCTAAAAGGTAGTTTTAGTCAATAGGTCTAGCAGTTGTAAAAAGAAAAAAATTTACATCCTGGGCTCCTTTTAGATGTTGGGTATACAAAGCTCCACAGGGTGCCTGTTAGCTGGGAAGGGAGCAGAGAGTTCATTTTTCTGTGATTTTGCTCACAAGATTGGCCTTTCAGTTAATGCTCCTGACCCTGTGTGGTCCTAGACTAATGCATGTGTTTGTGTCTTTTTTTTTTTTAAACAAAAAAAGTATGAAGTAAAAACAACGCATTTTAAAAATAGAAAAATGCTTATAGAATAAGGAGAATATAGAATAAAGAGCTATAAGAATATAGAATAAGAGATATAAAGAGTATAGAGTAAAAAGTACATAAAACCCTATTAATTTGGCCATAGCTATAAAACCTTTACATCCCCCCAATAAAAAGCCAGAATACCTGCCTCTCTGCCAATACACTCTTTCTCTTCCTCTCTCCTACTGGTCCTTTTGCTCTCAGAAAAAAGTAAGAGATATAAAGTACTCTAAAAAAAGTTAGGAGATATAAAGAATATAGAATAAAGAGAAGAAAATATTTTTTGTCTAGCTGTGCAGTGTTTGTGTTTTAAGCTAAGTGTTACTACAAAAGAGTTAGAAAGTTAAAAAAAAACCCCACAAAGTGTTTATTAAAAAAAACTTATTTGTAACAAAGTCACAAGCTGTGGTTAATTTTATAGGAACTATGGTTAATTTATGATTGAAGAAGGAAAAATATGTTCATAATCTTAGGTTGGCAGTGTTATAGAGTCTGTGGTAGTGTCCTAGCCTGTCACACTCACCCACCCAGAGCAACTTCCAGTAAGTGCCCTATGCAGGTGTACCATTCTTTAGCTTTTGTTTGTTTGTTTGTTGTTGTTGTTGCAGTTTGGCCCAGGCTGGGTTTGAACTCGCCACCCTCAGTATATGGGGCCGGTGCCCTACTCACTAAGCCACAGGCACTGCCCTCTTTAACTTTTATACCATTTTTTTGCTGCATTTTTTCCACTGCATTGTTTCTGTGCTTAGGTATGTCTGCCGATACAGATGTGTAGCATGTTAGAGTTGTCTACAGCATTCAGGACAGTGATATGCTATGGAGATTTATAGCCTAGGAGCGACAGGCTGCACTGTGCCATAGAGTCCAGGTGTGTAGTAAGCTGTACCGCCTGGGTTTGTGTAAGGATGCTCTGCTGTTTGCACAAAAGCAAAACTGCCTGATGAAGGATTTCTTGGAACACGTCCCTGTCGTTAAGCTACGCCTAACTGTATTTCAGTTTAATTGAAAGTGTTCGGTATAATGGATGAGTGCACAGATGTTAAGTAGGTAGATGGTGGGATAGATATTAAATAGATAGGTGGATAGATAGAACTGAACGGCTACTCCAGGCGTTTTCCTAGATTCCGTGTTAGTATCTGTGGGGTGGAGGCAGGAAGACAGAGGTAATAAAATTGAATAACTGTGCCTTCAGAGAGCATCCTTAATCAGTTTAGTAGTTAACCTTTGCTAATAATTTATTGTATTAGTATAGTATTGAAGCCTATAATGAAGGATCCTTGGGTAGCCTTTCCAGTGAGTACCAGAAACAGAAGGAGAGCTGGAACCCTGTTGCTTTGTTCATAAAATATGAATGTTCTCCTCCCGGTAGTGTTGAAAGGATTTGCAATAAAAGCCACTCTTAAAATTCTGAGGCTGTGGGTATCTGAGGCTGATTGATCGTCCTTACTTTATTGACTTTGAGCTGTTTGTTGATTTTTATCAGTCCACCACCACTAAATTCTCTGAGTTCATGTTTTTAGTTATTACTATAAAACAGGCACCCCTGGAATTTTGTTAGGAGGAGTGCTATTCAGATCTCTGATTTGAGTTTCCGAGGGTGGAGTATGACGGGAATGGTCGGATGTTGATGAAATCCCTCAGAGAGAGAACCCAGGGGAATAGAGTCATGTCTCCCAGAAGAATAGATGAGGGTTGCTGGGTGGCTGGGGCTGGAAGGCTGGGGGAGGGCGCGGTCCACAGCGGCTGGCTTGGTGGCTGTTAACATAAGGGTTCTGCTACATAGCCCTTCGGAAATATGCTAGCAGTATTGGAGATGGATTCTGGCTATGTAATCTGTTATTTTATTATTTACTGTTTTATTTTAGTACTAATTATTATTAGTACTAAAGATTTAGTCAAAATAAAGTCAACTTTATTTCTCCCTAGTAAGTACATGAAATAAGTATTTTTTAGTGAGTATATTTTGTTTGGCAAACCTTTGAGATGACCATTTACCTTGATTTAATATTTCAGGCTTCAGTGCTTCTTTGGGAAGGAATGAACAAACACCCTCAAGGCGTGGCTCGATAGTAGGGTGTTTAGAGCCAGCACTTGGTGGTTATCACTTGGGCTGCACTTTCCTTAGGGAATAACAGAAGCAGACATCTTGGTGCTAGTAGTCCACAAGCCTGTGTGTTAGTGTAGAACTCTTGGAAAAGAAAGTTTTGAATCCCCCAAATCAGGGTTTTTAAGATTATTGGAGAAAAGACTTGTTGAAAACAAACATGAAAATGGCATGTCCAAATGAGGAGTAATTTGCATGCAGGGTGAAAGAGAGGGACAAAAACTCACCTGCCTAGCAGCTTTAGAGCCAGGAACATCTTCCCTAGATCCTGGCCAAGAGGTGGAGGGGGTCACATGGATCCAGGGCCGCTAGGAAGCTGGAACGCCTAGTGGGGCATAGTCTAGAGCAGGGGTCCTCAAACTTTTTAAGCAGGGGCCAGTTCACTGTTCCTCAGACCGTTGGGGGGCCAGACTGCAGGCCCCAGGACGAGTTGGCTGCTAAGCAGGACAGGCAGCGGCGGCAAAAACACCTGGCAGGCCGGATAAATGTCCTAGGCCGGCGGCATGTGGCCCGCAGGCCCTAGTTTGAGGACTCCTGATAGAGCCTACCTGTCTAGTTTCACATCTTATCCGTTGTAATTAAACTGTGCAATCTTAGGCAAGTTATCTAACTTGTAACTTCCCTGGGGACCAAAGACCTAGGGAACTAGAGTCATGTCTCTGTGAAGACTAAAAGGAGAATAATAGTAGTAAGTAGCACGTGGGGTTTTAGTGAGGACCAAATGAGCCAGTCCATAAGAACAGTCATCACCAGAGGTCTGGCATTGTTACAGGGTGGCTGACTTGGGAGCCATGTGGGGAGAATAAGGGCTCTAAACCTTGTGTGGCTTCTTGTTTGTCTCAGGGTCCCGGATCGCGAGCTGGCTGCCGAGCTTCTCGGTGGAAGTGATGCACACCACCAACATCCTTGGCATCACGCAGGCAAGCAACTCCCAGCTGAATGCCATGGTAAGGACTGCCGGCTGCTCAGGAGGGTAGCTAGGGATTAGGAGGGCAAGTGCCCGGGAGCTTGTGTGCTCCGTGTAGATGACCTAGTTGGGCTTACTCTGTTCTGGCAGAATAGCAGAATTTTCAGGGGCTTTTTGTAAAATTATTCATCGGAACCACCAAATTCCTGTGTTGTAAAATTTGAAATGAGTTTAGAAGCTGGCTTCATTTTGTTTCTGTGGCAGATAGTCTGTCCTTTTCTGAATACTGCTAAGGTGACCCTGTTGTGGCCTAGGCTTCCTTTGGGACTTTCCCTTGATTTTACTAGATTATTTGTAGGGAATTGTTGGCTAGAGTGAATGATATGCCTTTTATTAAAATCGTATGAGGGCTACCAAATGTGTCTTGTTGTCCCCCATCCCTTCCCTCTCCTCCAGGAGTGACCGAGTATGTGTGTGTGTGTGCCTACACGTGTGTGCCTTGAGATGCTGAGGCATGCTGTTGGCTCAAGGATATTATCATTCAAATACCTCATGTTTCTTTGTTTTTTCCAAAAAACATGAAACATGTTTCATCATTGTTTAAATCTAGCCTCGTGGTTATAATAAATGCGGGAGTCTTTTTTTTTTTTTTGAGATAGAGCCTCAAGCTGTTACCTTGGGTAGAGTGTCGTGGCATCACAGCTCACAGCAACCTCCAGCTCCTGGGCTCAAGCAATTCTCTTGCCTCCGCCTCCCAAGTAGTTGGGACTATAGGTGCCTGCCACAATGCCCGGCTATTTTCTTAGTTGCAGCGATCATTGTTGGTTGGCAGGCCGGGCTGGATTCAAACTCACCAGCTCAGGTGTATGTGGCTGGTGCCTTAGCTGCTTGAGCCACAGGTGCTGAGCCAAGTGCGGGAGTCTTAAAATGCAAACCGCTTTAGTCCTACTTGAATCAGGGCCTCTGCCTGACGTGAATAAGCCTGGCCAATACTTCAGAAGGTCACTGGTTCATTCATTTGTTTGCTAATTTGTTTATTGAACAAGTATGTACTGAGACTGTTCCTGCAACAGGCAGTTTGCTGGGCATAGCACCTGTGTTAGCAAGATAGACATGGGCCTTACTCTCAAGTAGGGTGAGTTCTCACTGGGGAGACAGATTCTAAACACCAGCAAAGGAGATGATCACTGCTGGTGGTGAGTGCTCTGGAGGCAGTCAGGCAGGCTGTGAGGTAAAGTGGTGGGTAAACGCTACTTTAGAGGAAACATTTGGGGACTTCCCTCTGAGATTTTTTTTTGTTTGTTTGTTTGAGACAGTCTTACTTGTCACCCTGGGTAGAGTGCTGTGGCGTCATCTTAGCCAGTGCAGCCTCACACTCTTGTCTCAGCCTCCCGACTAGCTGGGACTATAGGCCCCTGCCAGAACGCCCGGCTAGTTTTTTTATTTTTTTATTTTTATTTTTATTTTTTTTTTTTTGAGACAGAGCCTCAAGCTGTCCCCCTGGGTAGAGTGTCATGGCATTATAGCTCACAGCAACCTCCAACTCCTGGGCTCAAGCGAGTCTCCTGCCTCCGCCTCCCAGGTGGCTGGGACCACAGGCGCCCGCCACAATGCCCGGCTATTTTTTGGTTGCAGCCGTCATTGTTGTTTAGCGAGTCCGGGCTGGGGATTCGAACCCGCCACCTTAGGTGTACGTGGCTGGCGCCTTAGCCGGTTGAGCTATAGGCGCCGAGCCTAGTTTTTTTATTTTTAATAGAGATGGGGTCTCGCTTTGCTCAGGCTGGTCTCGATCTCCTGAGCTCAAGCAATCCATCCGTCTTGGCCTCCCAAAGTGCTAGGGTTACAGGCGCAAACCCCTGGGCAGGTCTGAGGAGGTAATATTTAAGCTGAGACATGAAGGCAGATTAGGGTGGAGGCAATGGAAACAGTAGGTGCAAAGGCCATGAGGCGAGAAAATGCCAGAAACTGAGGAAGTTCATTGTGGTTGGAGCTTAGCAAGTAGGGCACCAGGGTTGTGGTACAAATTAAGATCGCAGAGCCAGAACCTGCAGGGTCTTGTAGGCTACAGTCAAGTTCAGATTTTATAGTGAAAGCATTACAAGTCCATTCAAAGCTTTTTTATAGCTCTCTACCACTGCCACCAGGAGACTGGCAGGACATTTAACAGAATGATTTTGCTTTTGGAAGGACAGTTAATTTTAGCAGGTCAAAAATGGAAGTGGGTAAACGTGTTGGGAGGTTATTGCTGTAGTTCAGACAAACTAAAATGCTGGTGGCTTGGACAGGGGTGTGGGTAATAAAGATGAAAAGAAGTAGAGATTTAAAATCGTTCTGTCAGATGACCGGCAGGGTGGATGAGTGAAGGCTGCCCTGCGGGTTCCGGTTAAGCAGCTGAGTCAGTGGTGGCTCCGTGTACTAAGATAGGCCAACCTGGGGGAGGAACAGGCTTGAGGACTGGGGTGCAGCTTTCTGTTTGGATAAGTTTGAGAGTTCATGCAGGCCATTCTTGTGGACATTGGAAATTTTAGATCTGTAGGTGATATTTAAAGCTGGGGGCAAAGGTCTAGCAGAGAGGGAGAAGCTATGACAGCTAGTTGAGAACCAAAGAAACCAGGAGAAAGTGACAGCACAAGCCCAGAGGAGTTTGGGTTTCAGGAGGGAAAAGTCAAGTATGGGGAGTTTTTAGGCGATGAGGTCACAGAGGGCACATGGTCTTTGCAGTGCAGCTGAGAAGAGCGAGTGCCATCTGGGGCCTGCGGCTGGGACCTGCGGCTGGGACGCTGTGTTGTGGGAAGACTGTGGGAAGACTGTGGGAGCTGACGTTCCCTGGGGTGGAAGCTTAGATTGTTGGGTTTTAGGTCGTCTTTTCTAATGTATATATCCAGTGCTGTCTGATTTCTTTCAGGCACTCACTTCTTTCACTACATCTCACAAATTTTGATGTTGTGTTTTCATTTCATTTGGTTCAAAATATTTTTAAATTTCTCTTGAGATTTCTTCTTTGTGCTATTTAGAAGTATGTTGTTTACCCCCTACCTAATGGATATAGCGTATGGGTACATGGCACACCTGGGTAAAGGACTCAACTGCAACTAGGACTTTTCTCAACAGATGCAAACAGTGTAACCTAATTGTATTACCCTTATGTTAATCTGAAATTTAAAAAAATAGTATGTTGTTTAATCTTCATGTATTTTGGAATCTCCAGTTTTCTTTTGTTATTGACTTCTAGTCTAATTTCATTATAGTCAGAGAATGGACATTGTATAATTTCTGTTCTTTTAAATTTGTTAAGGTGTGTTTTAGAATGGGGTCTGTCTTGGTGAATGCTCCAGGTGAGCTTGAGAAAAATGTGTCTTCTGCGGTTGTTGGATGAAATAAGTGGTCTGTAGATACTGATTGTATACAGTTGACTGATGGTGTTGTTGGCATCAAAGCTCTCTGTGACCCCAAACTCCTGAGATCAAGCAATCCTCCTGCCTCAGCCTCCTGAGTAGCTGGGACTATAGGTACACACCACCATGTCTGGCTAATTTTTTTAAAGTTATTTTTTGTAGAAATGGGGTCTTGGAGATTGTTGAGATTAGCCGGCGGAGTTTTTACCCCTCCAGAGTTGTTCACACTGACCCTGCAGCAATTTGCCAGTTAAAATTCAGGTTTTCCTCTACAGGCATTTCTGTAAAAATAGATCTGAAAGCAAGTTCGGTGTATGAGTAAGAATGATCACAAGGGACAGAAAGTGACAGTGCAGAGCAAACAGAAGCGGGACTGAAAGAGCAAGGTCTCGGACAGGGAGGGCAAGGCCGGGCGCCAAGCACGGGGGTGGGACTTGCCATTGCTGAGAGAAGGCGTCTTGCTGGGGTTTGGTTTAAATAGAAGGCATAGCTCAGTTAGCAAGAGGTGGAAGCAACTTGAATGTCACCAGAGACAGGCAAATAAAGAAAATGTGGCATCCACATGCAGCAGAATACCATTCAGCTGTAAAAAGGAAATCCTGTCAGATGCTACAACATGAGTGACCCTTCGTTATGCTAAGTGAGAGAGGTTTATCAGAACACACAGATACTACATGATCCCGCTTCCATGGGATAGCTAAAGTCATCAGACTCTCGCCAACAGAAAGTAGAATGGTGGCTGCCAGGGACTAGGGCGAGGGAGATATGGGAAGTGTTCCATGGATGTAGAGTTTCAGTTCTGAACAAGAAAAAGACCTGTTTAAACACCTGCTACACAACAGTGTGCGTGTGTTTAACACGGTCACTGTTAGTGGGGAGTCCACCTCTGTGCTGCTCAGGGACTGGTCCGGTTCACCCAGCAGAACTAGCAGGTTCAGCTGAGTCAAAGGGAGAGCATGAAACTGGGCTGATGGAAAGTGAGGCAGGTGGGACTCCAGTGCAGCAGAGCAGAAGCCAGGTTGACCTAAAGTGAAGAAGGAGAGTATATTAAATTGATGTAAAGCAGAGAGATGCACAGGCTTTTCCAGGAGAGTGGAAAGGGTGCCCTCCTGGGAGTGAGAGATGCCACACAGAGGCAGTGCCCTGTAAGTGCTCTCACCCTGACTCCTCCTCCCTCTGCCTCTGAGAATTCCCATTGCTTCCCCTTAGGCCTGCAGGCTGCTGTCCTGGTTTCATTGGCCGTGGGTTATCTCAGTTGCCAGTTTTCTTTATTCGGTGTCAGTGGTGATTAACTGTTACTTTACTAGTGATGGCATGGAGGCCTGTTCGTCTCATGTTTGTGGCAAAAGTGGTGTGCACGGATCCTTACCTTTTTCTTACAAATCATTATCTCTGTTTTGTGAGGGGGTCGTTCACAGGCTGGGGGTCATGGGTCACAGGCTGGAAGTTTGATTTTACAGGAGCAGCACATAATTGGTTAACTTTTGTCATACGCACCCAGAATTCCTCATTTCACTTCAGGGCCCTTTTCAACTTTCTTGTCCAGAAGGCTGTAATTCTCTCCCACCTCCCTATGGCCCCTTTAACCTCTTTCCAGTCATCACTTACTCTCTACCCATGGGAGGTTGGTTCCAGGACCCTCCTTGGATGCTCAAGTCCCTGATATAAAATGGTGTAGTATTTGCATATAATCTATGCATACCCTCTCATATACTCTGAGCCATCCCTAGGTTACTGTAATACCTAATACAGTGTAAAGGCCAAGTAGATAGTTGTTATACTATATTATTTAGGAAATAATGGCAAGAAGAGTAGCCTGTACACGTCCGGTACACCATGGTGGATCCATGGTTGGTTGAATCTGAGGGTGTGAAACCAAAGTATATGAAGGGCCTACTATACATCACAGATGGTTAAGGTGGTAAATGTTACCAGCTTTTGACCACAATTTAACCCTCAGCCAGGTCACCTGCAGAAAGCAAGAGTGACATCACAGTGGTAATCCACAATTTAACCCTCAGCCAGGTCACCTGCAGAAAGCAAGAGTGACATCACAGTGGACAAAGGTGGTCCGGGAGTGCAGCAGCCCAGTGAGGGCTCAGGGCAGTCTTCACATGGGTTCTTTGGGGTCAGGAAGCTGTTGGAGGCTCCTGCAGGTGGACCATCCCACCTGCCTCCTTATAAACGTCAGACCATGGGCATGGGACCCTCTAGGAATGACAGTTTCATTCTAGAAATTGGTGTGTTTAGAATTCTCAGGCAGGTGCTGGCTGTTCTTCCTCTAGTTCCATGCGGGTTTGGAATGGGCTATTTTTAGTACAACTAATTTACTGGAATGATGCATTTTTTATTAAGATCCAATATTTAACTTGCTAGATTTTCTGGAAGAAAAGCCTTGGTCTAATAAAATGAGTCTTAGGGATTTTTTTTTTTAATTTAGGAAATGAGGGGTAACCTGTTTAAGAATTGAGAAGAATTTTATCTTTTTATGGAAGTTTTTATGTACTCTTCCCTAGTTAGCTTTGATTTGACCCAGGAAAAAAATTATCAACTCATATTTACATGAACTGTAAGGGGACCACAGATATGTGGAGGTCCTACCAGTACTACAAGCAAAGCTCTGCAGGTGTCACCCTGATTGAGACATGGTCTCCTCCGTCTGTAGTTACTTTATGTTCCTCAGAAGGTAATATTACAATAATAGACTTTGGCCCTCACCTCTTCTCTGTCACAAGAGGGACCCATTTCCAGCTCTCTTTGGAAGTGCTCTAATCTTTGTCTTTGTTCTTCCTAAATAAAATCTCCTCGTTACCCTGGGGGGGAGGGGAATACACACACACACACACACACACACACGTGCATATATATATACATACACACTTTATCATCCTCCTAAAGCAACTATTTTTTTCTTTTTTTGTTTAAATTACTGAGATTTTTCCACAAGCAAAACCTTGAACATAAGTATTTGTAAAATAACTATACGTGTGTGGAAAAAATAATCCAGAGCTGCATGGATGAAAGTGTGGATGGTGGTGTACCCAGGCCTGACCCCCCCCCCCCCCCCGGCCCACCCAGAGCCTTGGATGGCCTCTCAGTACAGTTTCTAGAGTATAGTTTAAAAACTACAGCCCCAGGGCAAAAATAGACATCAACATTATTTACAACCTTTTTTTTTTTTTCAAATTAAGGTACAAATTAAGATACAGTAAACATTTACTGCTGTTAGTGTTCGTCCAGCTCAGCTCATCACCATAATCAAATTATATTATAGAGCTGTTTCATCCCCCTCTCCAAAATGTCACTGTGCCCTTTGGAGTCACTTCCTTCCCCTGCCCCTGGCCCCAGCAACCACTCATCTGTCTCTTTGCTTCTGGTTTTGCTGCCTGTAGGACATCACATAAATGGAATCCTCCAGTCACACTTCTTTCACTTGGCATGATGCATTTGAATTTCTTCCATGTTACATGCATAAAAGGTATATCTTTTATGTTATATACCTAAAAGGTTTGTTCCTTTTAGGAATTATATCTTTAAGGAGAACACATTTTTATACTCAAGATACACAGTGCTTTAAAACGAGTACTTTAAAAAACTAAAATATTCTAGTTGACCTTGTGTTGGGATCCAGCTGGATTTCTGTGCTTTTTTATTTTGAAATTGATGCTGTCCCAGTTGCCTGTTGACATCCTACTATAAGGACTACCGTTTGAGGGTGATCTGCAGAGTAGAGTGGCTTCCTTAGCTGTGTTTTTGAGTCATGATGTTGAATTCACTGCCCAAAGTCTGCCGTGCACCAAGCCTCATGAGTAATTGTTGAGAGTGGACGTTTCTGTCTTTTTATCTGTATTCCTGTAGGCTCATCAGATTCAAGAGATGTTTCCCCAGGTCCCATACCACCTTGTGCTGCAGGACCTACAGCTGACACGCTCGGTTGAAATCACAACAGACAACATTTTAGAAGGACGGATTCAAGTACCTTTTCCCACACAGGTAAAACTGGGGTTTTAAGCATGGCAAACTGACTCTTGTCTTCCCAAAGAGTTAATCCTCTAGATTAACTTTTTCACTTAACTGAATATGTAGTATCACTTATGATTTAATGCAGAGATTCTGATAACTCCCTAACTTTCCTAAGTAATGACTGGGGGCAGACCTGCCAAGGATAAGGACAGATTTGTTTGAGGTCATGTTTTGTACAGATGTACAATGTGAACCTGCCTGTCCTTGCCAGTTTAGGAGGTCAAGGCACTGGTTCCTACTGGTTGAAGATTAACAACTTTTTTCTGTAAAGGGCAGATAATAAATATTTTAGGCTTTGCAGACCATGCAGTCTCTGTTCCAGCTTCTCAGCTCTGCTGTTACAGCACTAAACAGCTGTGGACACTATGGAAATGAGGTGCTCACTTGGGCAGCATGGACACTAAAATTGGAATACTACAGAGATTAGTGTGGCCCCTGCACAGGGATGACATGCAAGTTCATGAAGCATTTTAAAAATATGTAAATGTTGCTTTGTTCATGACTTGCTGGGACTCAGAGGGTATGGCCTGCACCGTATCTATTCCTAGAGATGGGAGTCTGATGTCTGAGCTTACCTGAGCCTGAAAAATGGGGGTTCCCTGCCCAGCCCTGAGGGACTAAATCTTGTATCAATGTTGTATCTCATAAAATGTCTCTCATTTGTAAAATGTAATAATTTGGTTTATTAAATTGTTGGGGCGGCTCTGTGCCTGTGGCTCAAGTGGCTAAGGCACCAGCCACATACACCTAAGGTGGCAGGTTCGAATCCCCAGCCCGGGCCCGCCAAACAACAATGATGGCT